GCAATGTCAAACCACTTCTGGATCATCTGCCAAGAACGTATATGAACAGGTCCCAGTCCGAGAAAAGGATGGAAGGATCCTGTTCATATGGACCTGTCGTCAGACAGAACACTAAATAAAAATAATAAATCCTCATATGCATCTGGGCATCATTATCTAGTAGACAAGGAGTCAGGCCACGTGTTCACCCCTGCCCTATCAAAAATAATCAACAACGCGGTTGAGGATCGAACTGGGTTCTTTGTGTAGCCAGTACAAGCTTATGAGAACGTCAGTGCTACGTCAACCCGGTATATGATAGGCGATCCAGAGTCTATTCAGATAAATAACACTTCCATAACACAATAGAACGCCGGACTATTAGATCAGAAATAACGAGGACGTAAGGAGAGGCTTGAGCACATTTCTTCGGATATATTCAACTTTATCCTCGTCTCCGCTTTCGCTGTCCCCCCCCCCCTTTTAAAATAAAGAATAAAGGTCGTAACCACAGGACCCAACTCCATAAACAAGCGACGTCCACGAGAACTTCAGGCTAAGATATCATCTTACCTCGTAAAACTACTGATTTTGATTTATTCTTAAAATATCTTTACCCCTTTCAAGGCCAGTGGTAACCATCTTGTACAACCTGCTTTAAAAATTAATCTCTCTGTTTTTTGTCCACAAAATATTAACTATGTTTCTCAAAGTAAACAACGATTATATCCTTAAACAATATCAAATATCTAATGTTTGTAATAAGACACGCTATGTTTTCTTTGCGGTAAGGACTGAATTCTTAAATATTATTAAGACGAGCTTCGGCTTTAGAAAGTTAAGCCACGATCCGTATTCTTAACAGATGTTATACAAAGGAAAATGAGAAACAAGGGGTATATAGTAAACATAAAAATTCAAGTGAAGAGTATAATATTAAAATGTATTGTGACGTGGTGCAGAAGGAATAGACGAAAGGAAGTTTCGGGAAAAGATTGTGTGGATCAGAAGTGAAGAGTGTGGAATATTAGAGTTAAGTCTTGTGTGGGTCTACAAGAAGCCATCGTGTGTCCAGTGGACAGCGCCAAGTTCGGGGACCAGAGGCTCTAAGGACCTCTCATGTAGAGAATTCCATTCTACATTTCCTTCGGTCCTATTTCGGGTTTACTAACTCCATGTAATCCTTTCTGAAACGCTGATAGTCGCTCATATAATCAGATGCTTCCCGAATTTTATAAACTGTGTTCTCCAAAGTCCAACTCCGGTCCCTATCCTGGGCCAGATGAATCCAATCTGAACTCTCCCACCTTATAATTGATTTTAATTAATATTTTCCTCAACATTAAGTCAAATTCCCCCCCAAGTGGCGTCTGCCTTTCAGAATTCCTACCAACTCTCTCCCAGACGTTGGTCAAATCAGGTCCTTGCTTTGATCTTTTTAATAACATCTGGCGTATAGTTCAGATTATAAAACTTCTAAAGATTTTTGTCTTCTGGGTTGCTGCGCCCTGGAGATGGAGGCAGCAAAGACCTCTGAAACGTCGGTAAACTTCTACCACGGCGCAATAACCCCGAAGACAGCCATCTTCAGACTCACCGCCGTAAAAACCCCAAATCCTGCATAAAGCTTCTAATTGTTCAGTTATCTTCATCCTAAGTTTTGGGACCAAATTTTCTCCCCAGTAGTCAGCTCGGGTTTAATTTACCGCTTACATCTGTGAGGTTGCCACGAACTGCTCAATGAAACACGATCTCCTGCCTCTGTCCAGGTTTTATTTGCCACGAGGGTGAAGCCATATCATGAATTAACAATTCTCTAGGACACGTTGTGCAGTTTATTGCAACCTAGAACCCTAGGGAGAGTACTGTAACTCAAGTATACATAGAACAGACACTTCATGCAGTAGCCTTTACATAACTGCCTTCTCATATCATAATACCGCACCTCGTGACTCCTCAGAGGTTTGCTAACTCAGAACAGTCAAATGTTAAATGAAGCGAGTTGAATGAAATGTCTTCATTCGCTTATTTGAACACGCTATGGACGTCAGCTGCAAA